CGGTGCAGCGAGGATGATGACAAGGATGATGATGCAACCGCTTTCAAAAGCTGCAACAGACAGCCACGGGTATGGGGGCATGAGAGCATAGGGGCATGGGGCATGTTGCATGGAGCATGGAGCATGGACCATTGGCGGAAGCGAGGCATTCTCATGGCTGGTTATTTATGCGTAATTTCTATGCAGAGCAAGAAGCAACTGCCAAAGCAAGGAGGCAGCAGAGCAGCCACTTCACTTGCATGCGAGTCAAAGCTCCCTTACCCGCCAAGCGGGGGCTGGGCTTTGGCTTTGGCTTTGGCCTTTGATGCCTTCCATTGTTTCGATGGCTGTGGAAGCAGCTTTAAGTCCCCGCTGCTCATACAGGCGCACACAATCATCAATCAAAATCAAAAGCCAAAGTACTTTTGACATTAATTTATTCAAAAGGGATACAAGCACTTTTCAACTGCATGCCAAAAGCGAGAGAGATACGAGATAGTTTATATGGTAGCAGATCGGATATTTGTGACCACTCCATTCCATGCCACTACACTGTACTCCAATTATGACCACACTTTCCTGCATTGCAGCTGTCAACATAATAGTTGCTTAATTTCCCAACCATGGAATGCAAAATCCTCTTCACATTTGTGGTACAAAATATTCGAATTAATATTTATGAAACACGCAGAGAACATCGACGAGAACGAGGTACGGCGACGCGCTTTGCATAAATCAAAAACATTTGAATAATAAATACGAATTATGCATTTAATTAAGATTTGCCACAAAAATCCACGTTCTGTCGAATTCTGTGGAGTTGCCTGGGGTTGGAGCACGACATTTCTGGCTGCTATGGCTGTGGGTTTCTTTTTTGCCTTCATTTCAGTTCCCCCATTGCTCTCTCCTCATCGATGGCGGATTCGCCATTGTTCCAGCTCTCTGTCTGTCTGTGTGTGTTTGCTTGTTAGTTCTCTGGTGTGTGTGTGTGTGTGTTGGTGTGGGAGAGATTTTGATTTCCTCAGCTTGCATCACTCAAAGTGAGAGAGAGAGAGAGAGGAGGCGAGACAGAGACAGAGCCGAAAAAAAAGAAGAGCAAACGCCAGCCGAATTCAATCTAAATGCAAATGCTCTTGGTGTGCTTTTTGCTGCTCCATCCTTGAGCGGAGCATCGTGCCGCAGCCGCAGCAGTGGAGCACCAGAGGAGCTCCCAGCCAGCAGCGACAACAGCAATCCAGGTGAAATCGCAACACAGAAAGCCAATTAAGCGACGCCAGACATTAATCGAAGCTCCTGCCAGATATCGTGAGAATATCGCTGCTGCCCAAATGGCGAACAGAATCCACGCATTTGGGAATTTTTTGTTTGGTAAATGCAATCGCCAGTGCCAGTGCCAGTGCCAGTGCCCGTGCTGACTGCAAAAATCGCATTTATCCCTGGCCAATGGTCTTTGTTGCCTTCTTATTCTACCCATGGCATATAGGATGCAACCCGTTAATAGACAATTCCCATTCAAATGGTTATTTTCCTATGGCTGCTTGTGTTTTCTATTGCATTAAAGGCCACTAAAATGTGGCACTCTCTTTTGCCAGTCTCTGTCCTGTCTCTTGGGTGTGTTTGCCTCCCCCTGCTTAAGTATGTTTGACATCAGATGAGCTCGTTTTTCCATGCTCGCTTCATTTGCTCCGACAACACGGACTGGGCTCCGTAGAGCGCAAATTGATAAATTATTGTTGCTGCCACGAACGTACGGATGCCATGCCCCAGACTCACGGATGAGACAGAGACAGACAGCCAGAGAGACTTGTATCTAGACTGTCTGGAAGCATGGCATCGCATGGCTGCAACAATTGCCGGCAATTAGCTCGGAAAAACAATTAGCATTATGTGATAAGCGGTACATAACATTATTATCTAATTATCAAAATAAATTTAAGGCCAGACAGAGCCGGACCACTCCAGAAAGTGAGACAGATTGATGTCTGCCCCGGGTTGTGGGAGACAGAGGTCAAGGAATTGTAATTGAGACATGGTCCATCCCGAGCTTCAGCCCCCAGAGGGAAGGTCAACGTAAGTCTGCGAGAGCCTTCATCTACATCGATGTGTATGCAAATCACGCGAAGCACTTTAAAGGCATTAGAATCTCAAATATCTGAGGCAGAGTATTTGCACACACACACAGACACATATGACAAGGGCAACGAAACTTGGAAAGCCGCGACGTGACAACACGCAAATCGAAGCCTACGAGGAGACGAGACGCCTCCTCCACATGGAAATAGATACAAAATAAATATGCAAAGTCGCTTCGCTCCACAGGCGGCTGCCACGGCCACGGCAGAGGAAAAATACATAAATCAGAAGGCAGCAGCAGCGGCAGTGGCAGAGGCAGCAGCAGAAATGCGAAATTAAATGCAAACAGTGGCAAAAAGCGACGACTCACGACAGGGTCGTCGCGGGACGTGGATGCTTGCTGGTGGCGATGCGGAAGCATAATTGAACTTTGAGTTTCAACGGAGTAATGGAGCGGGGGAGTGATGGGTGTGCCTGGAATGGTAGAAGCCAGGACCCAGCCAAGCCAGGACAGCCCGGTTTCAGGCGCTCTCTACTCATTAAAGCCAAATGCAATTTACGCCGATAATTTGCAACAATTTGCATGGGACGTGGGCATGCAGTCCTCATGCCAGCATTCACCCTGGTGCTCCACGATGCTGCACACCGAGATGAAATGCACTCTCTAAGTGCCTTCAATGGCCACCGTTTTAATTGCACGGCTTAGCCACGTTCGGGGAGGCAAACACGATGCCATTTTGTAAATTTCGTTAATAGGGAAATGTGCATAGATTTTCATCTATACGGAAAATACTTAGCCAAGCCGCCTCACGCGTGGATAGCAAGCGCACAAGGGAAAGCGAAACGTATACCTTGTGGAATGTGGATAGAAAATTTGCATATTATCACAATTATTCCAGGAAAGAAAAGCAATGCATCAACGTGGTGGCTGGGGGATTAATTTCATTCGATTTTAATAGAATTGCAAATGGATAACGCTTCAAGCTATCCAACTCTCGTTTATCATGTATTTTGCATGAATACTCTTCATTATTTACAAGTCGCGCACACGAGAGAGTACGAGTACGAGTAGGAGAATTTCCCTAGATTGTTTTCCTTTCTGCTCGATTTTGATTGCATTTTCCACACTCGAGTATTTTCCCATTTTCAAGGGGCGATTGCTGCAGCTTCTGGGCTGCACAGAATTTATTATGCATAAAATTGCAGCAGAAAAGTCAAATAAAATATGCATCGAAAGTTTTATTGTTCATTCAAACTGTTCCACTGCTCTCCCTTTCCACCTCTCTCTATCCCTCTCGTTGCCACACGCACTGACACACTCCTACACACAAAATTGAATTCTTTTTTTTATGCATTTAACTAAATTTCATTTATTGTTGCTTACTGCTCTCACCCCATCCCCACAATTGCACGCAAATTTGTATGTGCTTCGTTTCGCTTTGTTTCATTTCGGGATTTTCGTTGTGTTTTGTTCATATTTTTCACTCAGGAGTGGGTGTGCTGCTCCTGGCTTTCCTTGCCTTTCCATTTCATTCCATTCCTTTCTCTGTGCTGGCTGGATTTCTGTTTGCTTTAATAGACTATGCTCTGGACATGCCAGCACACATTTGTGTGCCCTGCTGCTGGTCCCAACTCTCGCGATTCTCTCACTATAGCTCTCTGAATCTTCCTATAGCTATAGTGTTCTGGCTTGGGCATGGGATTGGGGAACAAAAACTGGGGCCGGCTCATGGCACTGGCTCTTGCAAATATCCTGCGGCGGTCGCATTTATATGAGTTTATACCATTTTGTGTTGCTGGGGGGACTGGGAGAAAAGAAAGCAGGGAAGCCGGGAAACAGACCGGTTGGTGCACTGGATTTTGTGATTTGGTTTTTATGTGTGCCATATGTACCGCTCCACACCAGTTTTTCTTTTCTTTTCTATTTTTTGTGTGTGTGTGTGGGGCTTATTTTCTGTACAGCGTTTTTTGGGCCAGAAGGCATAAGGCGCCGAGAGGCGCTTAGAGAAATTTATCCAAAGATTTGTGCGGATTGTGGCCAAGGTTACCTTTTGGCTGGCAGTGGTATGAGAGGTTGGAGATTTATTGGACTCTGTAAAGAGATAATTGTGCAGCCTAAGCCAGGGCAGTGGTAAGACAAAATCAATCTTCAATTTAAAATGCAGCAGAAAGTTTCCACACACACACAACTTTTGTCGTGTTTGAAGGTATATTCTACATATATCTGAGATTGTTTTCAACAAATTTTAAAAGACAAACAAATCTCTGGACATAAGCAAACGATGCTGCAGTTGTGTAAGCAAGTTGCAAATGAAAGAAGCTGTAAGCTGCAGGGCTTACAGGGCCACAAATCAAAGGGAGGTCAGTGGGGACCTCCACTCACCCGTCCATGTATGAGTTTCTTGTGCTAATCCAAAAGGCAGAAGAACTTTCAAGGCCTCTTCCTCCAACTCCGAAACTCCTCTCTGCTGGGGACAACAAGTTGGGTAACTTTAATTTATGTTTTTCCCTTACAGCAAAGAAAAATGGGCAAAACTTTTCGCTCAATAGCCAGTACAACGAGATGAGCATTGTTCTAATGCACTGACCCGTACATACAATATATGTAGGGTGTGTGCAAAGCTGTTGGGGGAGGTTGTCTGCATAAACAATTTGTATCTGGTGGATGCTGCTGCTACTGCTGCACTTTCACTCGATGACAATTGTGATAAATTATGCTGCCACGCGACAGACAGACAGTCAGAGCTTCTCTCTTGACCCCCCCGACGAACTGTTGCGCCCACACTCTCTGCAGATACTTTTGCCACTACAAATGAAACCGCAGTGTGTTATTGTGTCATTAATATCTTTTGCCTCTTTCTGTGCTTTAAGGCTGCTGCCCTTTTGTATGCTTTTTGATTTTTGATTTGATTGATTTTTTGTTTGGTACGTAAAGTGCGAAAACTCACTTTTAATTTTTGTTGCTGTAGCTGTAGCTGTGGTTTTGTTGCTGCTGCCAGTGGATTAATTGATGACCCACACGCAACTCGAGTGGTGCTGTAGCTGAAGCTGAAGCTGAATCTGTGGTTCGGCTCTCCCACTGCAAAGCGTTAATGAGTCCGCATGACGGGCTCAAATTTCCATATGATTTACTGCCCTGCCCGCCCACTCACTCCTCTCACGCACTCACACAATGTTTATCTGTCTTTGACGCTTTTCCGCAATTCACTTTTCACTTTCTCCACGCACACTTATTGTTGTTTCTCTCTTTATTATTTTTTTGGGTGATTTTTTGCCCGTTTTTCGCACACTTTTCCCTTGCCTTGGGAGGAGAACCTCCTGCTACCGGCTTGTACTTGGGCTTTGGGCTTGCTTTATTTTCCGCTTTTCCACTGTCGGCTGTCTGGTAATCCGCTTTGGCCTAAATTTCAATTCTTATTTGATTTTTTTTTTGTACGCTGCTCGGCACAGTTTGTTTGCTTGGCGCGATGTTTATTTTTACGCGAAATTAAGAGGCGCCCACCGATGGTCGGTGGAATCGGTGGAGAACCCGGCACGGGCCAGGATTCTCAGGCACTCTAAGGGGGATGGGGTGGGGCCCGGTCACACGCGACCTGTACGATGCGCAGCACTCCACAAGATCCGAGTGTCACGCACTAATGTCTTGGCTCTTCCTTTGTTCCCTCTTGCTGCTGTTGCTCTCGTTAATTAGAGCCATAAATTGCAAGTGGAAGTGACAAAAAAATTCCCTGTTTATTTCTGTTGATATTATCGGTCGGACTGAGAGCGATGCTTGCACTGGAAAAGGCCGAGCAGAGACTCGGAGACACACCCGCACGGCGAACAACACGGAACGGGCCACGGATAAGAACTAAACAATATCGCAGCTGCCACGGCTGCCGCTGCTGCGCTGCTCGGCTGCTGCTGCCTCCTGCTCTTGCTGTGCTGCCTTTGTTGTTGTTGCTGCTGCCACAGAGTGTTGTACGCTGTACGAAGGCTGTGGCTGGTCGGCAAAGCTGACTGCCTGCCATATCATTCACAGTTTTTCACATCGTCGTCCGCCCTTCGGGTTTCTCACTCTCTCGCTCTCTCGTTTGCGGGTCGGAAAATGCCGGCGCCTGCAACATGTTGCAGCAACCACCCAGCCAGCCACCCGAAGACGTGACCTTTGGCAACTGCCAGAATGTTGTTTTCTTTGCAGCCAATTAATGGGCGACGACTAGAAGCGCTTCCTCGAGTCCGCAAGTTGTCGGTGTGTATCTGTGTGATTTATTAGGTCCCACTCATAAATCCCGGCATCCTCTGCAGAGCCGCATAAACAAAACACATGCATAATTTCCATAAATCTTTTATGCCTGCGTGTAAAAAGTTTTGGCCAGGCCAATTATGTGACCCAGAGAGCTCGAACTAGGCACTAATTTGACAGCCAAGTGGCCCGCAAGCCTTTCGTCGAAGCTCACGCCATGCCATGGCAGCATGGAGTCGGTCGGGTCACTAAACCCCCTGAGGACATGCCAGCTGAATGCTAATCCACCCAAAAGTAACGACCTAATTGAGTCGTTCTCTGACCACTGGAATGATTGCGCCTCCATTATCCGCTCTTGGCTATGTTATACCACTCCTCCCGAGATATATTGTCACCTTATGGTGTGCTCCTTTCATGGTCCTTCGAGTCATAGGCTTAATTTTGCAGGAGCCAGGAAAGAACATGTGATAAGTAGCTTAGGATTCAAAGGGGATTGCCTGAGCAACAATGAGCAGAATTAATTAGTATAGAGCTAATACAAATCAACGAGTTTAAGACGAATGGATTGCCATGGCATTTAAATAAGGCTTTTCAGTAGATAGCCTGATCTATAACGATTCTTGATATTAGAAAATATTTTAATATAAAATATTTAACATTTTTGTTATCAGACAGTATGCTATTAGAGCAAATATCTGTGGAAAAATAATATTTTTCGTTCCCTCAGAATCCCAGCAACATGACATTGTCAACAAATGTTGCCTTCGTTTGGTGTTGCGGCACGCGAAGTTGCGAGCGCATTGTCAACATGCTGTTCTAGCAACATGATGCCTTCGTTAAGTGTGGCGGCACACAGGTGGTGGCAGCATTTGTGCCATTTTCAGAATTATCAAAATTCGCAAAGGAATGTGTCAATCGAATATAAGATTGATATTCTAGGAAACTTTTTCAATGGTATTTTATCCTTACGCGTGTATCTATAATTATACAGAAGCACCTTTGACATTCCCAAATTGGGATTCGGGGAATGGCTTTATATTTCCTATATGTAACTTGGCCTAAAACCTAAATAATGTGAATCTTCATCCTATATAACCTGCCATAAGTACTCTCAGCTGTTAAAGATATGTACATAATTAGAATAATTAAAAGTGCTTCAACTATGACAAATTTATGAACTTTTATCAGTCTTAAAAGCAAGAAAGAAAGGAATAGAAATGTACTTTGAATCTAATAACTCTTAATTAATTACAATGCTGCAATTATATATGTATGTACACACATATGTACAATATGTACAATAAATATGTACATATGTTTACGCACAATTGAGGATATGTTATTGCAAGTGAAATCACAAGCACAATGCAAACCCTTCTTGTTTTGTTTTCAGTTCCACCTGCGCATATGTAAATTGCACAAGCACTTCTTGCACGCCCAAAACATCTCTCAATGACCCATAAATCCAGTGGCAAACAGCACAAAATGTAGTTCCATAAATGCAGAAAAAATATAAAAAAATGCTTGAAGAGCGAAGAGTAGGTGCTGCTCCAGCTCAAAGTTCTCTAGCAAGTGGGCGCTGGCATTAAAATGGAACACGTTGTCGTACATTCTGACTTCCACTATAATACTTTCACTTGGCAGGCTGTTGCACCTCGTAAGCGAAGCTGCCGCCATTTCAGTCTCCCCTCTGCCCGGGGCATTAGCCTTTTGTGCGTTCCGTCTCTCTGCTGCTGCTCCTGCTCCTGATGCTGCTCCAGATGCTGCAACGCCCGAGGCATGGCATGCGGCAACCTTCACACCTTTGCACATCACATGGTGTTTTGTGTTGCACTTCCACTTGAAGGCGGCAGAAAGAACAGAACGGCAAAAGAAAAGCGCAAATAGGATCAAGGCTAGCAAAACGGTGGTGGGAGTGGGAGTGGGAATGGGAATGGGAATGGTGCAGCTACTGGCACTGGCGGCAGTCAATGAACAGAGAATAATGATGCAGGAAAATGCTTTTAAAACAATACTTGATGCAAACTGATTGAGTGGCAAATGGGCTTTTAACCTAAAATGGAGTTGGTAGTAGATGCGTGGAGTGCGAGTGCAGATGGAGGTGGAGTGCAGCTGGAGGGAGTTGCAGTTAATTGAAGCATGGCCATTGCACACTTTACTCTGACTCTAACTCTTTTGCTTTGAGCCTCTTTCTGTGCGTGTGTGGCCTGGTGGCATTTGTGCATATGGCTTGGATGCTGCGCTGGAAAATTGTTTGCCGGGCGAAAAACTTTGCTTATTTCGTTTTAATTGCTTCACAGTCGCAGCTCATAGTAGAGCAGAGTAGACCGGTGGGCCCCCGCCAGCGAGAGAGTGCGGCAGAGGGAGAGAGATAGATGAGATTGCAATGTGGGCTGCCCCAACTTATGCATGTATGCATATCTGTGTCTCTCTGTGTGTGTGTGTTTTGTGTGTCTGTATGTGAGTGTGCTCATTAAAACGCGAGGCAGCTACGCAGAAAAGCGACATTTGCATTAAGTGTCTTCGTGTGTGTTTGTTTTGTGGGAAGTGTGGAGAGTGGAGTGAAGAGTGGTGCTCCCAAAAGCAGGCAAAAGCGTGCCACTGACACACAACTGTCACTCACACACACACTGGAATACGACCAGCACCCACACACACACACACACACACACACACAGGCACACACACACAAAGCCAAAGTCAAAACTTGCAAATTTTAATGCATCACAAGATCTCAACTCAACGACTTCCAATGTCTCACAAAACCCAAAAAATCATCACCGAACCCCGACCCAAGGAACAGCAGCGGCAGCAGCAGGCTCCTCACAGCTTGACGCCGAAAATAAAGAAAATCTCCAACTGTCATGTCACGTGCCTGCCTGGAACTGGAATCCAAACAGGAAACCCACCAACCCATGCCCCCCATAACCACCCCATCATTCAGCATTCCACATTCCACACCCACTCATCTCATCTGAACTCATCTCATCCCCTATCCAATCTGAGTTGAGGGCTCATTAAAACCGGCTGCCGTTTCGGCCCCGGGGCTCTACTTTGCCTTTGCCTCTGCCTTTGCTTTTGCCTTTTTCCTGAAGTCTAATAAAGTTTCTCTGGCAGCCTTTAAAAGGGTAGCATAATCGAGGCACGCTCTCTCTCTCTCTCTCTCTCTCCGCAAGATTCTCGCAGTATTTTGTGATAGCTGCCGTTAAATTGTCGTTTCCTTTTTTACGCACCGAACTACATAAATGATTGACGGCTGGACCTTGTGGCTGACTGGTAGACTGACTGAATGACAGACTAGTTGCTTGATTTATGTGGGTGTCGCCTGGCGCCTTTCTTCTTTGGCGCTCAATTAAAACCAGAGACCAGAGGCCGGCCGAGAGTCAAAAGTCACAGAGAGACTGAGATGAAAGTGGAAAACAAAAACCATTGGCAACCTAGTATCCGATGGATTAACACATCTCTCTCGCTCTGCCTCTCCACCCGCTCTCTCTTTCAGCAGGCCGAACGACCACAGAGCAACCCTCATAGGGATGAGGCTTAAAACTGGAAGACAGACGCGGTGGCTGTCATATAAATCAAACATAATCAACGCCAAATGCGTTGCCTGACTCGTTATAGATGGACTCCGATACAAGATGTAGAGATAAGCGACTAGCTCGATGAGGGGCTGAGGGGCGCATAAATCTAAATTACACACAGCACAGCACCAGGGTAACCAGGGGACAGTGGCAGACCGCAAGGGGATTCCCATATAAGATCCAAATCTCTCAAAGTGAAAGATATCTAGAGGGACAGAAAGTAAAAGGAAATTGCTTGTCTGATGCTCGTTTGTTTGCGTTTTCAAAATGTTTTCTAAACGGCCAATGGGTTCACACCTACCAACTACCCTGAGCAAAATGAGGGTTCCTTAATTGCAAGTTATGGATGAGGCTCCCCCACTCTCCCGCCACTAAACATTCAATTTGCACGCACTCCACGGAGCACCTTTCCATGGGAAAGTAAAATCTGTAATATGAGCTGTCAACAAAATGAACCTTATGAAAAGTCATTGACAGGATGCTCTGAAAACAGGACATTCTATAGGTGCGTGGGGGTGGGGGGGCGTCGACAACAACAAAAACTGAACACAGAACAGATCAGAACAGAACAGTCGGTCGCTCTTTATGGGTATAGTATCTGTGTTTGTAGTTGTTTGTGTGCGTTGTGTATTGTGCGCGAGGCCAAGATACAGAGAGGTAGACAGAATCTCATTTGCGGTCATGTTGGCGTGTCAAAAGCGGACAACAGCAACAACCTCTGGAGCAGTGGAAACAAACAAGGTTGTCAGGCACTTCCATGCCATATGGCAACCATTTGCCTGCACATTATACAACAACAAAAAACACAGAGAAGAAGCGGAAATATTGTGCAGCGATCAATGAACTCCGCATACCCTTGCCCAGAGAAGGGCAAATATGAAGAGTAAATCGGATGAAACGCTAACAAAGAGCAGAAGAGGGACATCCGATAAGCAGTTGAAGAGATCTTAATCTTGGGAAGGAATAATGGGTTTGTTCTTTTTTATAACTACATAAAATGAATATTCCAATGAAAGATGTTAATATTGGGATATAAATGATGACTAAAATGCAAT